TTTTCCTGATTTCTCTTTCTGCTAGTTCATTGTTAGTGTATAGGAACGCCAGAGATTTCTGTGTGTTAATTTTATATCCTGCAACTTTGCTGAATTCCGATATTAGATCTAGTAGTTTTGGAGTGGAGTCTTTAGGGTTTTTGATGTACAGTATCATGTCATCTGCAAATCGTGACAGTTTGACTTCTTTACCAATCTGGAATTCTTCTATTTCTTTGTTTTGTCTAATTGCCGTGGCCAGGACCTCCAGTACTATGTTTAATAACCGTGGGGAGGGTGGGTATCTCTGTCTTGTTCCCGATCTTAGAGGAAAAGCTTTCAACTTCTCGCTGTTAAGTATGATATTGGCTGTGTGTTTGTCATATATGGCCTTTATTTTGTTGAGGTACTTGCCCTCTCTACCCATTTTGTTGTAGTAGTCCATTTTTTTATTGAGGAAACAGTCTTTGGGAGCATCCAACATTTTTTAGATCATCTTACAGTGGTGGTGATGATTATATTGCCTGAAAGGCATACATTTTTGAGTGGCTTTTCTATGTGTTTCTAGAACATATTCTTGCAGTTGAAATTACAGCAATTTCTCATACCTCAGTAGGGTATTTACTTTAAGCCTGTATAGAACATTTTTAGTTGTATATTCTAAAATAGATCAGTTCTTTATATATTAGTTGTTTTGAAATATTTAAAATTGTTAAGCAACTGTTTAAAAACAAAACACCTATGATCAGAAAAGTGTTTTAACATGAATGATTTGGCTTCTCTGCCTTTAAGGAAACAAAATTACTTACGTGAGCTATTTCTTAGATTTTCCTAGAAGTTGAGGTTAGCATAAACAAAACATTTATGTAAAACTCTGACAAATCTGATAATACCTTTGTTTCTATTTTGAGACTAGTAAAAATACTGACACAGTTTATTCATAATCAAAGTGTTAGATATGTATTGTCTACTGATATGTTATTCAGAGATGTTTACCAAATGATGGACTGCACAGTGAGTAAGAATGCTGCGGGCACTTTTAGCTATTTCATGGTCTTTAGTGCAGTTTCGTTTTTCAGTGTGAGTCCCTGGTATGTTGTGGCCTTTAAGGGCTTGTTTTTAAAGATACTAAATGAGCAAAGGTAAAACTCTATTTATACTTTAATAGTATGCTCCAGCTAGATTCTGTAATATGTTTCAACTCCAATAATTGATAATGTTTTTGGGCCCCTTGACCCTTTAATTTATCCATGTTACTTTTCCCTTTAAATAGTTGTGTTATCAGTTAAGAAGCAACTTAGTATCTATCTGTCCAAACATAGTGTGACATCTTGGTATATTTGGTTATTTTTGACATACACTGAAAGTAATTTGTTACTAATAGTTATAATAGCAAAGTTGGTTAATTATTTCCTTTAAAAAATATCCCTATAACACTATCCTTTTAATATCACTGACTGCTTTCCTCTATGGAAGAGAGGTGAAACTGAAGATCTCTTGTCAGGAATTTGTGTGATTTTTACCTGTGGGAACATAATTCATGTCAGTATAGAAAAAAATTTTTAGTATCATAATGTTAATCTCTTCCTCTCTACACACCTTTCTTACAGGAACTTTGCCAGTTAACCAATCTTTGGGCAGAGAGATTCTGTGCTTTGGAGGAAAAATGTGAAAGCATTCAGAAACCACTTAGTAATGTCCAAGAAAATACAGAACAGTAAGCTGTTTTTAAATTTTCTGACTTTTCTCTGCCTAAAATTATTTCAGAATAAAAAGCTTCAAATAGCACAAATACTATCCACCTAATTTCTCATTTAACATATTATTATGTTTGCTTGATCACTCTCATTTCCTCTCTCTCCCCTTCTCTGATATTACATATGTATATTATATATATGTGTGTGTGTGTGTATACACACACATCTTTTCTAAATTAGCTGTAAATAAGTTACAGCTATGATGTCTACTTTCCCCTAAACACTTAAGTGTGTATTTTCTGAAAACAAAGATGATCTTATACAACCATACTACCAATATTTTAAATCAAAATTAGTATTGGTCACCATTATTATCTAATATATAGATCTAACTCAAGCTTTTCTAATTGTCTCATTAATGTTCTTTATTGGAAAAGAAAAGATTTTTCCATCTGTTCTAGGATTTAACGCAGAACCACACATAGCATTTAATGTCACGTCCCTTGAGTCTCGTTTAACCTGCAGCAGTTTTTAGTCTTTGTCTTTTGTGACCTTTCCTTTTTTTTTTTTTAAGAGTGTGGAATGTTTATTTAATACACTGTCCCACAGCTGGGGTCAGCCTTTATGATTAACTGCAGTTGTCAAGAATACCCCAAACGTGGTTTGTTCTCAGTGCATCTCAGATAGCAAGAGGTACATGACTTTGTCTCACATTGATGATATTTTATTTAACTTTGATAACTTGGTTACGCTATTGTTTTCCAGATTTTTCCACTGTAAAGTTAATCTTTTCCTTTGTATGTAATAAAGAATTTATGGAAGGATACTTTGAATCTACTTAAGTATTCTGTTCCACCTAGCATCTATTAATGCACATGCTGGAAATAGGTATAATGATGGTCGTCTTTTTTTCTAATTCCATCATTCCTTCTACATTTATTAGTTGGCATTCTACTGAGAGGAAGAATTTTTCCTTTCACCTCCCATTTATTCATATTATTTATGTTAGCACGTACTCATGGGTTCTTTTATCCTCTGGGTTATAATCCACTGTTATTTATTTTGCTGTTCCAATTATCCCAGTTTTGATTAGTGAGAGCCCCTCTAAGTTTACTCCTGTGTCCTTTTGATATGACCTATCCTTTTTGGGCATTATTTCTGTTATAGCAAGATGTTCCAGGCTCATCTTGTACTTTTTCAGCCCTAGTTCTGGAGCCAAGATCTGGTCACCAAGTGTGCTCATTACTACTGGGATGTCATTTCTTCTAGGCTCTCTAGGTGGACACAGCTAGAAGTATATTTGTGTTTATGTATATGTATATGTATATGCACATCACTATCTTTCTATGCCATATATATGTTCTGTTTTTCAACTTTGAGAACCTGACTTTCATTCCCAACATATTTACTTATTTGCTTAATCTTAGAGTACACATTCAGTAATTTCACAATTTTTAACTGTTAACAGTGGTGGAATATATACTTACTAAACAGATCATGGTTTGGCAAACTATGGCTGACAGGCTGGATGTTATTGCAAACATTTTACTGGACACAGTCATGCCCATTTGTTTAGGTGTTGCCTTTGGCTATCTTTGGCTGCCTTTGCACTGCAAAGATACATCAAAGACTGTAGCCTATAAACTTGAAGTATTTGCTGTCTGTGTCTTTAAGAATAAGTTTGCTGATTCCTGCATTAGATTTTAATGTTGCTTTATAGCCTTTGCTTGCTAGTCTCACATACTTACCTTATGTTCCAGTAAGACTTACATTTTCTTTTAAGTATTCTGTTCCACCTAGCATCTATTAATGCACATGCTGGAAATAGGTATAATGATGGTCGTCTTTTTTTCTAATTCCATCATTCCTTCTACATTTATTAGTTGGCATTCTACTGAGAGGAAGAATTTTTCCTTTCACCTCCCATTTATTCATATTATTTATGTTAGCACGTACTCATGGGTTCTTTTATCCTCTGGGTTATAATCCACTGTTATTTATTTTGCTGTTCCAATTATCCCAGTTTTGATTAGTGAGAGCCCCTCTAAGTTTACTCCTGTGTCCTTTTGATATGACCTATCCTTTTTGGGCATTATTTCTGTTATAGCAAGATGTTCCAGGCTCATCTTGTACTTTTTCAGCCCTAGTTCTGGAGCCAAGATCTGGTCACCAAGTGTGCTCATTACTACTGGGATGTCATTTCTTCTAGGCTCTCTAGGTGGACACAGCTAGAAGTATATTTGTGTTTATGTATATGTATATGTATATGCACATCACTATCTTTCTATGCCATATATATGTTCTGTTTTTCAACTTTGAGAACCTGACTTTCATTCCCAACATATTTACTTATTTGCTTAATCTTAGAGTACACATTCAGTAATTTCACAATTTTTAACTGTTAACAGTGGTGGAATATATACTTACTAAACAGATCATGGTTTGGCAAACTATGGCTGACAGGCTGGATGTTATTGCAAACATTTTACTGGACACAGTCATGCCCATTTGTTTAGGTGTTGCCTTTGGCTATCTTTGGCTGCCTTTGCACTGCAAAGATACATCAAAGACTGTAGCCTATAAACTTGAAGTATTTGCTGTCTGTGTCTTTAAGAATAAGTTTGCTGATCCCTGCATTAGATTTTAATGTTGCTTTATAGCCTTTGCTTGCTAGTCTCACATACTTACCTTATGTTCCAGTAAGACTTACATTTTCTTTTAGAAGTTTTATAATTTTATGTAAGATTTAAATCCATGATCCATTTTGAATTTTTTTATATAACGTGTGAGGTTTGTCAAGGCTCAATTTTTTGCCCATGGATATTCTAAACTCATGAGGAGAAGGATATTCTATTATATTTACCCCATTTTTGCCTAGTAAATTGTCCATTCCTGAAGTTCCGAGCTTCTTTCTGTTCTAGAACTTCCTTTAATCTTCAAGGCTAGGTCTGCTGGCCACAAATTCTGGTTTCCTTTGAGAATGTCTCGATTTCCCCTTCATTTCTGAAAGATATTTTCACTGCATATAGAATTCAGAATTGGCATTTCTTTTCTTTCAGCACTTGGAATATGTTATTTCATTTTCTTCTGGCCTCCATGAGATGAGAAATCTGCTGTTGTTCAAATAATTATCCTCTTTGGGCAATTTTTCTCTAGCTACTTGCAAGATATTTTTCTTTGTCTTTAGTTTTTAGAATTTTGATTACATTGTGTCTTCTTTCATACTTCTTTGAGTTCAGCCCATTTGTGTTTGCCAAGCTTCTTGAATCTGTAGCCTTTTATTAAAATAGGAAATTTCCATCCATTATTTCTTTGAACATCTTTCAGTCCTATAGTCCTTCTCACCTTCTTCTAAGACTTTGATGATGCAAATGTTAGACATTACAGTCCCATAGGTCTCTGAGGGTATGGATATGTGGTCTATTTTCTCTTTGCTCAGATGGAGTAAATTCTGTGACCTGTCTTCATGTTCACTGATCTTCCTCTGTCACCTCATGTACTGCTGAACCCGTTCAGTGAGCTGTTTCAGTTATTACACTTTTCAGTTTTATTTTCATTTGCTTCTTTCAGTCTCTTCTATTTCTTTGCTAAGATTAAGATTAAGATTTGCTAAGATTTTCCCAGAAATATTTTAACTGCTCATTGAGACATTTTTATGACAGCTGCATTAAAATCCTTGCCAGATAATTCTGATATCTAAATTACCTCAGTGTTGGCACCTTTCTTCTTTCCTTTTTTAAGTTCTGGTTTTCCAGAGTGTTTTTTTATTGTACCTTGAACATTTTTGTTATTATCTTAGGAGATTCCAAATCTTATTTAAGTCTTCTTCTTTTTCGCAGGCTTTCACTGTGTAGGTTTAGTGTGCAGGTCTGGGCCCACTTAAATGAGCTGTGGTTCCATGCCAATTAAATTTCAGAGCCCTTGCCATGTGTTATTCTGGTATGCTTTATCTGTGTGCCACCCACATGAGAAAGATCTGTCTTCTGTTTTTGATAGATGAGGTGTTCTTTACTTGTCAGTTAGTTCAAGGTGACTGATAGTGCTATCTGAATCATGTGTATCTTTACTGAGTTTCTGCCTACTTATGCAATCAATTGCGAAGAGGGATGTTGAAATCTCCAGCTCTAATTGTAGATTTGTCCATTTCTGTAAATTTTATCAGTTACCTCATATATGTGATGCTCTCTTGTTCAGTATGTACAAATTTAGGGTTGATATGTCCTTATCATTATGTAATGTCTCTTTTTATCCCCCAGTAGTCTTCCTTGTTCTGAAGTCTACTTTGTCTGAAATTAATTTAAGTACTTCAACTTTCCTTTG